GAGACTGCGTTCTTCTTGGAGGGTCGGTTCAGTCTGATGGTGGTGATCTTATCCTCTGTGGTGACCAAGAGCGTCTTGTACGTTGGCCCACTCGCAGCAGGCTGAGCCGCCACTTCAGCGGAGCTTCCACCTTCAGCTGCTACTAAGGAGCCAACCAGGTCCACGTACTTCTGCCTGGCCTCCTCCTGAAGGAGACACAGACAGACACAGAGCAGAGGAGAGGTTGATTTCAGGTATGAATTTAAATACAGGTCAGAACAGCGAATTACAGTATATATGTTTTTCAAAATAATGGTCTGGAGTGGAAATCACTGCATGGAAAGGACAACTGGACTTAAGTTGTCCAGTTGTCCTTTCAACGAAGAGTTGGAAACCATAGATGCTGCATCCTCAGTTTTAAACAACATCTCCAGGTTTAGAAGCAACATCTGCATCCATTCAGACGAAGCTTTGTTCAGGGAAGACCTTGAGATGATCCTTCAGATGACTTTGACCTTTGGCTTCTCTGAGCAGACCCTCCCTCCTGGTTTTAACCTCTTTCACCTCCCATAAAACAGTATTTTACAGAGTTTGATCCTGCAGCTGTCTCACCTGGGTTATGGAGCCCAGGGATTTCCAGGCGTCCCATTTGACCTGGTTGACAAAGTTCATCATGCCTGGTTTGGGAGTGTTGCAGGGACCCTGAGTGGCCTACAGAGAAAGGAGAAATCATGAAGACAGTGTGACCAGTCTGCTGCACAAACTGTGAGAGAGAGAAGGACAGACTCCTCTTATTGTCTCAGTGTTGTATTTGTTTTATTAGAGCATCTGTTACACAAAGAAAAGACCTTCAGTTTCAACACCGTCCCAACAATAACCTCCATATGTAGGTCAGCACACACACAGAGCAGAGTCCTCTCTGTACAGACTCTAACCCAGTGTGCTGGAAACTCATACAGACTTTGGCCGGTTACGAATTGTCCTACTTCATACTCCTGCTGACATCAGTGTGCTGGAGATACTGAGTACTGAGTTTGACAGTAATATTCAGAATAAGTCGGCTGTAATTACCTCCATCCAAGGAGGTTATGTTTTCGGTAGCGTTGGTTTGTTGGTTGGTTTGTTTGTTTGTTTGTTTGTCTGTGAACAACTTTACGGAGAAAGTTTTATGAGGTGTCAAAGGTTGATCCTGATCCAGACAAAATTCTGGATACTGTGATCCAGAACACACAAAAATAAGGGTGTCGTTGGGATTTTCAATGCTGAAAGATAACCAATGGGCGGCACAGTGGTGTAGTGGTTAGCACTGTCGCCTCACAGCCAGAAGGTCGTGGGTTTGAATCCGGGTCAGGGCATTTCTTGTTTTAGGAACATTATGAACAGTGAACATACCAGTTTAAACACAAATAAACGTTAATAAAAGACACGGAACAGTAAAAGTTTTGCTGTGAATCACAATATAAGGGGGACATGAGCTGCAGGGCGGAGGTCTGCGCTCTCTGAGTGCTTTTCTAGTTCTGTAGTATGGTTAGTCTGGTTTAACTGGTTTCCAGTATGGAAAAGTCCATCATACTCTGTGTAAATAAACGGACAACTCTGTAGCGTCGCTGTAATTTACCACTAAAAAAAATCTTTTCTGTTTTAATTTGATTATTTCTAGATTTTTTAGTCCAATACCATCAAAACCTGTTCTGTCTCTGCGATGACTCATCGTTTGATTCTCATCATGGCGCTGTAAATACAGCAAAGTTCTGTTGTCAGTTATGTAGTCCTCGTTTCAATCCTCTCTAAACGTGTTCACTGATGGCGTCTGCGTGGCGTGGTCTTAGTACCCTCTAACTCCTGTCTCCTGTCAGTCCGACTGTTTTAACGTTTACTCTCCTTTCTGCGTTAAAGCTTTAGACCCCCTCTAATACCAGCTGTGTGATGGAAACATGGCTGATGGCGTGCGCTGTGTGTGGTCAACATCAGGCGTGCCGTACAATATAAAGGACGAGGAGAAGGTGGAAAATTTGAGGCTTTGATGGAAATGGAGGATAAAAACGGTCCTGTATGATAACAAACATTCTTGTCAGCGGTTTTCACAAGAAAGAAGGAGGAGAAGAAGAAGAAGACAGGCTGTCAGGAGGACGAATCTTTTAGCTGTCCTCAATTCGCTGCTCTCCGCTATTCCGCCGTCTGCCCAGGCACTTTGCATTGTGGGTAACAGTACGTGAAGCAGACTGGTCTGATACATACTGTGAAATTTTCCTGAATCAGCACGTCATCCGGGTATTTTTGACATACTGTAAACTTCGCATTTGTTCGCCTACTGAATACTGAATACTGAATATTCTGGGTAAATCAGTACGAACTGCGAGGATAGGAGGAGGAATCAAAAACGACCATGATCTTTGCAGACTGAACTCGCTCTAAATCAACACCAGGGTCTAAAGTTTATAGACGCTCTGAAGGGGGCGCTCTCTGTTTTGTCAGAGGTGGACCTCAGTCCTAACAGGTGAAACATCTCACCTGTTTGAAGAGGGCGTAGATCTGCAGTTTGACCTCATTCCCCGGGTCGTTCTTCAGCGTCGACAGTCTGCCTTTGGCCTGCTCGAACTGCTCCACTGTCGCACCTGAACACAACATTTAATCACCTTCAAAGTACTTCATCTGTCAACAGTTTAACAGTTTACACAAACAAACAAACAAACAAACACAACTATCCTGAACTTTCACGTCTGTTTTGGAGAGCCTTCAGGAAGGATACTGTCTTTTTTATTGTGGCGTGATATCATGAGCCCTGACGTGTTAAAGGAGCGTTAAAGAGATGATCTCTCTTTTAACTCTGAAGTTACCTGAATAACCACAAATCCTACGTTTCAGCACAGGCCTGTGTCACAGGGACTATTTTAATAACTCGACAATGAACAGTAAAGACATGTCATCAAATACAAGTTTGTAGGAACAGGTCACTGAAAACACCAGAGAGTAAAAGCTGCAGGAGAAAACTTCAGCTCTCTCTCGGTCTTATTGAGACGGCGATTCGGTTTAATATAATTCATTCCAGCTGTAGAGACGGGAGCGGAGGAGAGACGTAGGGGTTGATGAGTGAGAGACACTCACCCATGAGAGGAGAGGCTGCAGTGTGGAACTTCAGACCAGGAATGGAGGAGGATCTGACCAGGCTGGAGACAGGAAAGACAAACATTCAGAGAAGTTCTTGTTCTGGACCCTGACTGGGCCGGCTTTGAGAAACATTATAGACCGGGTCTCTGGATCTTAGATGAACTTTAAATATTGTCATTTTTACACTGATGCATACTGACTGTATAAATGTTGATTAACTAGCAACGTCTTACTTCAATTAAAATCACCTACCTACCTACCTATCAACCTTACTTCCTACCTACCTACCTACCTACCAACCTTCCTACCTACCTACCTATCATTTACATTGATAGTCTTGTACTGCCTCGGAGTGATGCGTTCAAGGCAGCCTCAGATAAAAGAGTTTTGTATTTCACACACAGATGTTCAGAGAGACTCAAACACATGAGGACTTTAACACTAATATTAGTGGACTAAAGACGTTAAAGACATACCGTACCTACTATCTTTTTATTACCATTAGTTATTGTCAAAACAAAAGTCCGCAGCTTCACTTCGACTTATTTAGATGAATAATTTAATTACAAATACTCTCATAATTATCTCATATCCACCAGACAAGGTAACCTCAAACTGCCCTGATTCTATAACCTAAGTGTTGTCAGGTATGAGTGAATATAACAGATATATGAGTATAGATCTGTGTGAGTATAGATCTGTGTGAATGTCAGACTTTAGTATGTGGAGCAAAGTTCACTCAGAGCAGAGTTAGCTAACATCGCTGCTGCCTTTCTCTCCTCACAAACTCACTTTCATCAGAAAATGTCGAATAAACAGACAAACAGATTAAAACTCTGTTAGCCTTTCTGAACACAACATTAGCTCCTCCATATCTGTGATATTTACTGTCTGTAGTTAGGAAAATAACTCGTGCTACACTGTTAGCTGTGTTGAAGCTAAATCCATGTGATAACAGCTTTCAAAGGTTTACAGTCAGCTAAAAGCTTTTAAGAGAGACACCTTCATTTCAGTAACATCTACACACACATCCAACACTGACTAGCACTCATTTCATCCAGCTAACTAGGATAACCCAGGACTAGTTAACCTAGACTGACCTCTCGGTAATTTATCGATGTTTCAATCAAAAATCAACATTAAAACAGAATTATCTGACAGTCATCGATAACGAAGATCCAATCCTCACCTTCCCAACTTGACGGAACGCCAAGCAGCGGAGATCTTCAGGACCACACCGGCCATTTAAACCCGGAGGAAGGGGGACAAAGTACAGCGGAACCGGGAGAGGAGAGGAGAGGAGAGGAGAGGAGGGCGACACAGTAGCTTATCTATGAACACTGTTTACAACACTGAGCCCGCCCACTTTACCAACTCCTGCTGTTTCATTGGATGACACACACGTCAGTCAATTGAACAGTGGAACGACGGCCGTAGGAGCCAATAAGTACCTGTCTTGGGTCGTTGTGTTTGTACTGTGGGTCCCCGCCCACTCAGTTTCTGTGTTTTCCTGTAGTGAAGGCAGATAAGACTTTAGGGCTACCTGAATATATTATATATATATATATATATATATATATATATATATATATATATATATATTATATAAAATGGACGCCATCTGCCTCCTCTCCAGGTGAAGCCACTCCGAGAACAGCGCCCTCTGGTGACGGGCTGCAGTATAGGTCATAAACCCCGCCTCCTTATGGAGCTGTGGACAAACTTTATAAATGAATGACACAGAATATAAATGTTTCTCCCCCCTGGTTGTGATGTTGACATGTAGTTACTGTCAGACTGGTTTGTGCTCAAGTCCTCTTTTTTCTGTACAGCTCCATTTTTAAAAGTTATTAGGGGGTTCATGTTTTCTATGATTGACACCTGATACAGCCTATGGGAGGACAGAGATTGAGTAGATCACCGGGGGATACGCTGTTTGAGCCGAGCGTCATCACAGCGACTCTCAGCGACTGCGCGGCTGAATGCGCGCATCGCTACTGCACAGCGCTGGTTTCAGGAAATGAAGAAAAATCCTGGAAATACAGAGAACTTTTAGGCTTCAAATCCATTTACAGGCGGGAGGCGGAACCAAGTTGTCCAGAGTAAATACAATGTAGGCTTGGGAGACAAATACAAAGACATATAGACACAGCACCATTCAATGTTTGTAGATGTCAACTGTCCACAACAGCTTCAGGTAGAGGAGAGTGGGTTAAGATGAGCCAAAGGGTAAGTAAATGGTTAAAGAAATTGATCATGTGACCAAATATTGAGGAGATAGTCATGAATTAATGGAGTCTGTGAAGGTTTGCAGCTCATGGGTAAAGGGGTTAGACATTTATTTAAAAAAAAAAAAAAAAACATTTTCTCCACTCTGTAAAGTCATCAGTTTGATCAGAAAAAAAAGATAATTTTAAATTAGTTTTCTACATCAACTGTGGTTTCTCTGAGCTCCAACATGAGGTCAAAAACCTCAAAGTCCACCATTTTATCTTGGAGGACTAATAAAGTCATCACAGTAGTTCAGGGGGAACAGAGACAGTAGAGGAGTCTGAGGAGAATAAAAGAATGATTGTACCAGTTAAATAGAGTATAATAGATAAAAATACACATGAATGTGAAGAAGTGACTGTTGTTTAGGGAGAGAGAAGGTGAGGGAGGGCTGGAGAGAAAGTAGGGGGGGTAGTAGGGATACGGCTCAACTTACCCCGCTCCTATGGTCAATTTACACCCCCCATACACGGGGTAAGTTGACCATAGGAGACCCTTTTGTTGTCCTGCTATATTCTGAAGATGACAGTTCTGTTTACACTCATTCTGTTGGTTTGCAGGGATGAACAACATCCTGAAATATCTGCAGATACACGAGTTAGAGACAAAACTAGGACTGACTTGATGGACTGATCCCAAATATGAAACATGGATCATCCTACCCCGCTCTCCCCTACAGGTTCAGACTATGACGTTACCGGACCATACACTTCCATATGCCCTGGAGAGCCCACCCCATGTTGGGTTTTACAATATACAAAAAAATAATAAATAACATTTAAATAGTAAAAAAAAAAATGTGTGGAAATTTTTACAGCAAAGTTTGTTTTTCATGGAAGTTATCTATAGCAGTTTTTACTCTGCCACAAAGATTTTTAAGTGAGGGGGAAAAAAATCTAAATAAAACCTTTTAAAGAGAAATCAGAGAGAAGAGAAGAGTCTGAAATAAATACAGAATACCAGCTCTAAAGACACTGAATGATTATCGAGATCTGAAGCCTGTGGAAAAAAATCTACTAAAACAACCTTTAATCAAAGTCTGAAAATAAGAACTTTACTAAAAATTCAAGTACTAATACTGATCTGGTTTTTAGTTTAATGAGTTAAAGCGTGAGAATTGTGACGTCAATACAAATAAAAACAATTGTGACTGTGATTTTTGCCATAATCCTTCAGTTTTAACTGTTGAATTTACTGAGAGTCTGAATCTTTGTGTGTTTGAGTTCTGTCCATGTGAACAATGATTAAGAAATGTTTTTGTTGTATATTGAACAGATTATTTTTCTAATGTCTGATGATGAGGGTCACTTTCAGGTTTATGAGATTTTGGTGATTTTATCTTCAAACCTGTTTTTTCTTCAGATCCTAAAGACAAACCGTGAACACACTTGTAACGTTAATGTAACTTGTGTGTTCATGGTTTGTTGTGATATCTGCACTTTGAGAAATACAAAAGAAGCCAAAGTGAGAAGTGAAGCAACATTTTGTTTGAATGAAAAAATTGTGTTATCAACATTTTCCTCCTTAAAACCAATAAAAAACTTGTTTTTAAGTAACACAGACATAAAGTTTGTTCAGACAAACCAAAGTCCTGCTCGAAAACTTCATCATTTATCACATTATGCAGAAATTCATGCAGTGTCGACAAATACACCAGGAACATGTTTAATGGGGCCGTGTTTGCCTTACCTCAAACGGTTGGTTTACAGCTAACATTACATTGATTTCACAACATTGAACCCTAAAATGCTACGTGTTAAAACATTCTGACATTCAACACAAATCCTCTGTGGTCTTCGTTTGAAGCTCGGTGCTAACGGGGCTGAAAATTCAGGTTTATTGACAGTGGGACTGATTTTCCTCAGAGTTTATTTCTGTGTCAGATTTATGACTTTCAGGTGTTTCTGTTCATTTTCTTTATGTGTCTTTCTCAAGAATAGTGAGCTCTGGTAACCTGGATTTAATAGTCCTCAAAACCGTGTGTCAGAAAACCGGGACCAGAGTGAGCCGGGCAGACTGGCTGATCCTGATACCAGAGGAGTGGATTTCACCATCATCATCAACAACAACAACAACAACAACAAACAGCCACATCACAACATAAACAGACTTTATGACATGAACAGACATGAACAGCAGATAAGAGTCAGTGTGCAGAGACAGTAAATGTAGTTTGGCTCATTTTTACAGACACTCAGAAGAACTGTTCCCCATCACGACTCCAAGGGTCCGTTTCACGTAGGTGGTTCAACAAACTCTGAGTTAAATCCTTAACTCTGAGTTGATCTACTCTGAGTTAGGAAACTCTGAGTTTCCGGTTTCACAACTCCTGATTTGAGACGGTTTTAACAACTCCGAGTAGTTTGACCTGGAGTTAAGCACGTGCACGCCAGACATAAACAGCCAGCATCTGTGGAGCGCAGATTCAATGATCAACCAATGGAAACAGGGAGAAGGAGGGGGCAGCAGCAAGCCAACAGCGAATGACAGCACGTTTTTAAAAGAAAGTGCAATACAGCAGCAGCTGCAAAGGAGAGGGAGCGGGCTTGGGAGGAAATCGCTGCTCGCGTCAATGCGTAACTTTAAATCTAGTCTCGTGCAATCACAATGACAGACTGTTGCAGGGAAACTGCTTGAATCATTTTGATCATGTTTTACATTGTCAAGTAAGTATTAAGTGGCAGTTTGATCCCTTAGAAAATGCTCTTTTCACACTCAAAAATGAATTTTACTCTCTTATGATGTTCCGTTAAATGATTAGGAATATTAAACTAACTCTCAGTATGTATATGTACATATATTAAACTAACACACACTACACTCAATATTAGACTTTCACTCAGCAAACAGAAAGAGGGCAGATGCCAGAAAAACGGGTGGTGGTCCAGCAGCCCCACCTTTAACGGAGGCAGAGGAGCTTACCGCTGACCGCGAGGTTGAGTTACCTCTCTTTGTGAAACAGGTTAGAGTTACCCCTCTCTCCCTGGTTTAACTAACCCTCCTTTGTGAAACGGAAAACTCAGAGTTTCCCTGATTTCAGGATTAACAAACTCGGAGTTTCCACTAAACCTGCTACGTGAAACGGACCCCAAGTCATCTAAAAAACTGTCAACAGGTCTCAGGGTTTGGCTGAAGTGAGGACCTAAGAGAAAACCAGTGGTGATAGTTCATTAATATCATGTGATATAAAATGTCTTCATAGGAGGAGTTAGAACAAACACGGGTCATAAACAGACCGTGGAGAACCCTTTCGTTTTCTTGTTGCTACATTAGAGTGTTTACTGTCAGTAAATGCTTGTTTTTCACCTGCAGGACTTCCATTTCTCCAGCAGAGGGCGCCACCGTGTCAGATACCTGATGCATGAAGGCGTTAATCATTTTGTCCTTCAGATCTTCTTCCCACCTGCAGCTTTAAGATGACAAAGTTATAATTTTTGACGATGGTTTTTAGAAGAAGAGATCCTTTAAGGTTAGATGTCTGTGTAGGTTCTCTTCATCCAGGTAAAAAGGGAGACTGGACTCTCGTTTCTCCTCAGCCGCCCCTTCAAAGAAAACTTGGATGTCATTTTTTTTTTGGAGTTAACCAGCAAACTTCTGCAGGGGTGGGTGCAAAAAGAGGACAAAGTGGGTTTAGGACAGTGCCTGTGAACGTGCTTCAGTGCCTGTTAGGTGTCATCATGCTGCCTTTGTCCAGATCTTTGTGTTTTCCTGTATCACCTGAAGTCGGGACGTCTCCTCTTCCTCAGTCTGAGTGCTGCTGAGATGCAGTCTGGGACACTTCAGAGTAAAAACAGATAAATTAAATACTGTCGTCAGTCTAAATCAAAGTGTCCGCAGGGCCTTACGGCTTCAGTTTAAGGTTCCTGAATGCTGCTGCCCTCTAGCGGACAGGAGCGTGCAGTGCAGCTCCAAAACCCAAATATTCCAGGTTCTCTGCTGCAGGGAGGAAAAGACCGTTCGCCGTTAAAGCCGTGTTATTGACAGCGGGGGGTGCGGCCTGTGGCAGGAAGCCGGCTTGGTAGTCCGGGTTGTCGAGGCTGTCACCTGCAGCCAAAGGTAGCGAGTTCTGGGCGGTATTCAGATATTCTGGTCCCTCAGGAACCCTGGTGAAAGACTTTGGATCTCCCAGTGAGGAGGGATTTATATATATATATATATATATATATATATATATTATATATAGTATATAAAATGGACGCCATCTGCCTCCTCTCCAGGTGAAGCCACTCCGAGAACAGCGCCCTCTGGTGACGGGCTGCAGTATAGTTCATAAACCCCCCCTCCTTATGGAGCTGTGGACAAACTTTCTAAATGAATGACACAGAATATAAATGTTTCTCCCCCCTGGTTGTGATGTTGACATGTAGTTACTGTCAGACTGGTTTGTGCTCAAGTCCTCTTTTTTCTGTACAGCTCCATTTTTAAAAGTTATTAGGGGGTTCATGTTTTCTATGATTGACACCTGATACAGCCTATGGGAGGACAGAGATTGAGTAGATCACCGGGGGATACGCTGTTTGAGCCGAGCGTCATCACAGCGACTCTCAGCGACTGCGCGGCTGAATGCGCGCATCGCTACTGCGCAGCGCTGGTTTCAGGAAATGAAGAAAAATCCTGGAAATACAGAGAACTTTTAGGCTTCAAATCCATTTACAGGCGGGAGGCGGAACCAAGTTGTCCAGAGTAAATACAATGTAGGCTTGGGAGACAAATACAAAGACATATAGACACAGCACCATTCAATGTTTGTAGATGTCAACTGTCCACAACAGCTTCAGGTAGAGGAGAGTGGGTTAAGATGAGCCAAAGGGTAAGTAAATGGTTAAAGAAATTGATCATGTGACCAAATATTGAGGAGATAGTCATGAATTAATGGAGTCTGTGAAGGTTTGCAGCTCATGGGTGAAGGGGTTAGACATTTATTTAAAAAAAAAAAAAAAAACATTTTCTCCACTCTGTAAAGTCATCAGTTTGATCAGAAAAAAAAGATAATTTTAAATTAGTTTTCTACATCAACTGTGGTTTCTCTGAGCTCCAACATGAGGTCAAAAACCTCAAAGTCCACCATTTTATCTTGGAGGACTAATAAAGTCATCACAGTAGTTCAGGGGGAACAGAGACAGTAGAGGAGTCTGAGGAGAATAAAAGAATGATTGTACCAGTTAAATAGAGTATAATAGATAAAAATACACATGAATGTGAAGAAGTGACTGTTGTTTAGGGAGAGAGAAGGTGAGGGAGGGCTGGAGAGAAAGTAGGGGGGGTAGTAGGGATACGGCTCAACTTACCCCGCTCCTATGATCAATTTACCCACCCCATACACGGGGTAAGTTGACCATAGGAGACCCTTTTGTTGTCCTGCTATATTCTGAAGATGACAGTTCTGTTTACACTCATTCTGTTGGTTTGCAGGGATAAACAACATCCTGAAATATCTGCAGATACACGAGTTAGAGACAAAACTAGGACTGACTTGATGGACTGATCCCAAATATGAAACATGGATCATCTTAACCCGCTCTCCCCTACAGATTCAGACTATGACGTTACCGGACCATACACTTCCATATGCCCTGGAGAGCCCACCCCATGTTGGGTTTTACAATATACAAAAAAATAATAAATAACATTTAAATAGTAAAAAAAAAAATGTGTGGAAATTTTTACAGCAAAGTTTGTTTTTCATGGAAGTTATCTATAGCAGTTTTTACTCTGCCACAAAGATTTTTAAGTGAGGGGGAAAAAAATTTAAATAAAATCTTTTAAAGAGAAATCAGAGAGAAAAGAAGAGTCTGAAATAAATACAGAATACCAGCTCTAAAGACACTGAATGATTATCGAGATCTGAAGCCTGTGGAAAAAAATCTACTAAAAAAACCTTTAATCAAAGTCTGAAAATAAGAACTTTACTAAAAATTCAAGTACTAATACTGATCTGGTTTTTAGTTTAATGAGTTAAAGCGTGAGAATTGTGACGTCAATACAAATAAAAACAATTGTGACTGTGATTTTTGCCATAATCCTTCAGTTTTAACTGTTGAATTTACTGAGAGTCTGAATCTTTGTGTGTTTGCGTTCTGTCCATGTGAACAATGATTAAGAAAATGTTTTTGTTGTATATTGAACAGATTATTTCTCTAATGTCTGATGATGAGGGTCACTTTCAGGTTTATTAGATTTTGGTGATTTTATCTTCAAACCTGTTTTTTCTCCAGATCCTAAAGACAAACCGTGAACACACAAGTAACGTTAATGTAACTTGTGTGTTCATGGTTTGTTGTGATATCTGCACTTTGAGAAATACAAAAGAAGCCAAAGTGAGAAGTGAAGCAACATTTTGTTTGAATGAAAAAATTGTGTTATCAACATTTTCCTCCTTAAAACCAATAAAGAAACTTGTTTTTAAGTAACACAGACATAAAGTTTGTTCAGACAAACCAAAGTCCTGCTCGAAAACTTCATCATTTATCACATTATGCAGAAATTCATGCAGTGTCGACAAATACACCAGGAACATGTTTAATGGGGCCGTGTTTGCCTTATCTCAAACAGTTGATTTTCAGCTAACATTACATTGATTTCACAACATTGAACCCTAAAATGCTACGTGTTAAAACATTCTGACATTCAACACAAATCCTCTGTGGTCTTCGTTTGAAGCTCGGTGCTAACGGGGCTGAAAATTCAGGTTTATTGACAGTGGGACTGATTTTCCTCAGAGTTTATTTCTGTGTCAGATTTATGACTTTCAGGTGTTTCTGTTCATTTTCTTTATGTGTCTTTCTCAAGAATAGTGAGCTCTGGTAACCTGGATTTGATAGTCCTCAAAACCGTGTGTCAGAAAACCGGGACCAGAGTGAGCCGGGCAGACTGGCTGATCCTGATACCAGAGGAGTGGATTTCACCATCATCATCAACAACAAACAACAACAACAACAAACAGCCACATCACAACATAAACAGACTTTATGACATGAACAGACATGAACAGCAGATAAGAGTCAGTGTGCAGAGACAGTAAATGTAGTTTGGCTCATTTTTACAGACACTCAGAAGAACTGTTCCCCATCACGACTCCAAGTCATCTAAAAAACTGTCAACAGGTCTCAGGCTTTGGCTGAAGTGAGGACCTAAGAGAAAACCAGTGGTGATAGTTTATTAATATCATGTGATATAAAATGTCTTCATAGGAGGAGTTAGAACAAACACGGGTCATAAACAGACCGTGGAGAACCCTTCCGTTTTCTTGTTGCTACATTAGAGTGTTTACTGTCAGTAAATGCTTGTTTTTCACCTGCAGGACTTCCATTTCTCCAGCAGAGGGCGCCACCGTGTCAGATACCTGATGCATGAAGGAGTTAATCATTTTGTCCTTCAGATCTTCTTCCCACCTGCAGCTTTAAGATGACAAAGTTATAATTTTTGACGATGGTTTTTAGAAGAAGAGATCCTTTAAGGTTAGATGTCTGTGTAGGTTCTCTTCATCCAGGTAAAAAGGGAGACTGGACTCTCGTTTCTCCTCAGCCGCCCCTTCAAAGAAAACTTGGATGTCATTTTCTTTTTGGAGTTAACCAGCAAACGTCTGCGAGGGCCGGTGCAAAAAGAAGACAAAGTGGGTTTAGGACAGTGCCTGTGAACGTGCTTCAGTGCCTGTTTGGTGTCATCATGCTGCCTTTGTCCAGATCTTTGTGTTTTCCTGTATCACCTGAAGTCGGGACGTCTCCTCTTCCTCAGTCTGAGTGCTGCTGAGATGCAGTCTGGGACACTTCAGAGTAAAAACAGATAAATTAAATACTGTCGTCAGTCTAAATCAAAGTGTCCGCAGGGCCTTACGGCTTCAGTTTAAGGTTCCTGAATGCTGCTGCCCTCTAGCGGACAGGAGCGTGCAGTGCAGCTCCAAAACCCAAATATTCCAGGTTCTCTGCTGCAGGGAGGAAAAGACCGTTCCCCGTTAAAGCCGTGTTATTGACAGCGGGGGGTGCGGCCTGTGGCAGGAAGCCGGCTTGGTAGTCCGGGTTGTCGAGGCTGTCACCTGCAGCCAAAGGTAGCGAGTTCTGGGCGGTATTCAGATATTCTGGTCCTTCAGGAACCCTGGTGAAAGACTTTGGATCTCCCAGTGAGGAGGGATTTATATATATATATATATATATATATATATATTATATATAGTATATAAAATGGACGCCATCTGCCTCCTCTCCAGGTGAAGCCACTCCGAGAACAGCGCCCTCTGGTGACGGGCTGCAGTATAGTTCATAAACCCCCCCTCCTTATGGAGCTGTGGACAAACTTTATAAATGAATGACACAGAATATAAATGTTTCTCCCCCCTGGTTGTGATGTTGACATGTAGTTACTGTCAGACTGGTTTGTGCTCAAGTCCTCTTTTTTCTGTACAGCTCCATTTTTAAAAGTTATTAGGGGGTTCATGTTTTCTATGATTGACACCTGATACAGCCGATGGGAGGACAGAGATTGAGTAGATCACCGGGGGATACGCTGTTTGAGCCGAGCGTCATCACAGCGACTCTCAGCGACTGCGCGGCTGAATGCGCGCATCGCTACTGCACAGCGCTGGTTTCAGGAAATGAAGAAAAATCCTGGAAATACAGAGAACTTTTAGGCTTCAAATCCATTTACAGGCGGGAGGCGGAACCAAGTTGTCCAGAGTAAATACAATGTAGGCTTGGGACACAAATACAAAGACATATAGACACAGCACCATTCAATGTTTGTAGATGTCAACTGTCCACAACAGCTTCAGGTAGAGGAGAGTGGGTTAAGATGAGCCAAAGGGTAAGTAAATGGTTAAAGAAATTGATCATGTGACCAAATATTGAGGAGATAGTCATGAATTAATGGAGTCTGTGAAGGTTTGCAGCTCATGGGTAAAGGGGTTAGACATTTATTTAAAAAAAAACATTTTCTCCACTCTGTAAAGTCATCAGTTTGATCAGAAAAAAAAGATAATTTTAAATTAGTTTTCTACATCAACTGTGGTTTCTCTGAGCTCCAACATGAGGTCAAAAACCTCAAAGTCCACCATTTTATCTTGGAGGACTAATAAAGTCATCACAGTAGTTCAGGGGGAACAGAGACAGTAGAGGAGTCTGAGGAGAATAAAAGAATGATTGTACCAGTTAAATAGAGTATAATAGATAAAAATACACATGAATGTGAAGAAGTGACTGTTGTTTAGGGAGAGAGAAGGTGAGGGAGGGCTGGAGAGAAAGTAGGGGGGGTAGTAGGGATACGGCTCAACTTACCCCGCTCCTATGGTCAATTTACACCCCCCATACACGGGGTAAGTTGACCATAGGAGACCCTTTTGTTGTCCTGCTATATTCTGAAGATGACAGTTCTGTTTACACTCATTCTGTTGGTTTGCAGGGATGAACAACATCCTGAAATATCTGCAGAGACACGAGTTAGAGACAAAACTAGGACTGACTTGATGGACTGATCCCAAATATGAAACATGGATCATCTTAACCCGCTCTCCCCTACAGATTCAGACTATGACGTTACCGGATCATACACTTCCATATGCCCTGGAGAGCCCACCCCATGTTGGGTTTTACAATATACAAAAAAATAATAAATAACATTTAAATAGGAAAAAAAAAATGTGTGGAAATTTTTACAGCAAAGTTTGTTTTTCATGGAAGTTATCTATAGCAGTTTTTACTCTGCCACAAAGATTTTTAAGTGAGGGGGAAAAAAATCTAAATAAAATCTTTTAAAGAGAAATCAGAGAGAAGAGAAGAGTCTGAAATAAATACAGAATACCAGCTCTAAAGACACTGAATGATTATCGAGATCTGAAGCCTGTGGAAAAAAATCTACTAAAAAAACCTTTAATCAAAGTCTGAAAATAAGAACTTTACTAAAAATTCAAGTACTAATACTGATCTGGTTTTTAGTTTAATGAGTTAAAGCGTGAGAATTGTGACGTCAATACAAATAAAAACAATTGTGACTGTGGTTTTTGCCATAATCCTTCAGTTTTAACTGTTGAATTTACTGAGAGTCTGAATCTTTGTGTGTTTGCGTTCTGTCCATGTGAACAATGATTAAGAAAATGTTTTTGTTGTATATTGAACAGATTATTTCTCTAATGTCTGATGATGAGGGTCACTTTCAGGTTTATTAGATTTTTGTGATTTTATCTTCAAACCAGTTTTTTCTCCAGATCCTAAAGACAAACCGTGAACACACTTGTAACGTTAATGTAACTTGTGTGTTCATGGTTTGTTGTGATATCTGCACTTTGAGAAATGGAAAAGACGCTGAAGTGAGAAGTGAAGCAACATTTTGTTTGAATGAAAAAATTGTGTTATCAACATTTTCCTCCTTAAAACCAATAAAGAAACTTGTTTTAAAGTAACACAGACATAAAGTTTGTTCAGACAAACCAAAGTCCTGCTCGAAAACTTCATCATTTATCACATTATGCAGAAATTCATGCAGTGTCGACAAATACACCAGGAACATGTTTAATGGGGCCGTGTTTGCCTTACCTCAAACAGTTGATTTACAGCTAACATTACATTGATTTCACAACATTGAACCCTAAAATGCTACGTGTTAAAACATTCTGACATTCAACACAAATCCTCTGTGGTCTTCGTTTGAAGCTCGGTGCTAACGGGGCTGAAAATTCAGGTTTATTGACAGTGGGACTGATTTTCCTCAGAGTTTATTTCTGTGTTTTTCTGTGTCAGATTTATGACTTTCAGGTGTTTCTGTTTGTTCATTTTCTTTATGTGTCTTTCTCAAGAATAGTGAGCTCTGGTAACCTGGATTTAATAGTCCTCAAAACCGTGTGTCAGAAAACCGGGACCAGAGTGAGCCGGGCAGACTGGCTGATCCTGATACCAGAGGAGTGGATTTCACCATCATCAACAACAAACAACAACAACAACAAACAGCCACATCAGACATCAGACATGAACAGCAGATCAGAGTCAGTGTGCAGAGACAGTAAATGTAGTTTGGCTCATTTTTACAGACACTCAGAAGAACTGTTCCCCATCACGACTCCAAGTCATCTAAAAAACTGTCAACAGGTCTCAGGCTTTGGCTGAAGTGAGGACCTAAGAGAAAACCAGTGGTGATAGTTTATTAATATCATGTGATATAAAATGTCTTCATAGGAGGAGTTAGAACAAACACGGGTCATAAACAGACCGTGGAGAACCCTTTCGTTTTCTTGTTGCTACATTAGAGTGTTTACTGTCAGTAAATGCTTGTTTTTCACCTGCAGGACTTCCATTTCTCCAGCAGAGGGCATCACAGTGTCAGATACCTGATGCATGAAGGCGTTAATCATTTTGTCCTTCAGATCTTCTTCCCACCTGCAGCTTTAAGATGACAAAGTTATAATTTTTGACGATGGTTTTTAGAAGAAGAGATCCTTTTAGGTTAGATGTCTGTGTAGGTTCTCTTCATCCAGGTAAAAAGGGAGACTGGACTCTCGTTTCTCCTCAGCCGCCCCTTCAAAGAAAACTTGGATGTCATTTTTTTTTTGGAGTTTACCAGCAAACGTCTGCGAGGGCCGGTGCAAAAAGAGGACAAAGTGGGTTTAGGACAGTGCCTGTGAACGTGCTTCAGTGCCTGTTAGGTGTCATCATGCTGCCTTTGTCCAGATCTTTGTTTTCCTGTATCACCTGAAGTCGGGACGTCTCCTCTTCCTCAGTCTGAGTGCTGCTGAGATGCAGTCTGGGACACTTCAGAGTAAAAACAGATAAATTAAATACTGTCGTCAGTCTAAATCAAAGTGTCCGCAGGGCCTTACGGCTTCAGTTTAAGGTTCCTGAATGCTGCTGCCCTCTAGCGGACAGGAGCGTGCAGTGCAGCTCCAAAACCCAAATATTCCAGGTTCTCTGCTGCAGGGAGGAAAAGACCGTTCGCCGTTAAAGCCGTGTTATTGACAGCGGGGGGTGCGGCCTGTGGCAGGAAGCCGGCTTGGTAGTCCGGGTTGTCGAGGCTGTCACCTGCAGCCAAAGGTAGCGAGTTCTGGGCGGTATTCAGATATTCTGGTCCCTCAGGAACCCTGGTGAAAGACTTTGGATCTCCCAGTGAGGATGGAAGCGAGGTGGCCCCCCAGCCCTGGCTCAGGTCCTCATAGTTGGGATTCAACACGTCGGACAGCCTGCTGCTGCGGCTGGTTTCACTCATACTCTGGTTCATGTACTCTGAAGAGAGAAAGGAGGAAATGTTGTAAAATATTGATTCCTTCCCTTTTACCTCTTTAAGGTTCCTCCCTCTGAGTCATCAGTCACTGAAGTTTACCGTGGCCGGTGCAGTCCTCCCTGTCCAGCGGGTTCTGGGTTGGATCAGTGATGTAACGCAGAGCGATGCTGTTCTCTCTGACTGGACGACCGTTCTGATGGAAAAAAGGAGAAAATATTCAGTGGATAGAAGGTCATCAGGTCTTCGTTTTTCCTGAAGATGAACCTTTATAGATCCCAGCTGGAGAAGGAATCGTGTGTTTCTGTATGTGGGAACTTTGTACCGTGGCGTTGCAGCGGCGGTTGTCATTGTTGTCCAGGCCTTTGTAAGGCAGCAGGTATTCATCAGCGTCGACCACATCCTCCATGTCATCTGAGCTCAGCAGGCGAGAGTAAAACCTGCTGTCTGAGGGACTCGGGAGGTCACCCTGAGACAGGATTCAGGTAAGATCTGATTACTTCCTTATCGGGTCACAAATGAGTGAAGAAAACTCACCTGGCGGTCCGATACGAGTCCTTCAAATACCAAAACCGGATCATGTTTACCTCGTGCTGAGGGGTTGTTTCAAACAGACCATAACCTGCTCTGATGTGAGGATGAAGTCAACATGTAACCTGAGTTCTTTCTAATGTCCAGCAGGGGGAGACATCCACCTCTAATGTACACGCCATCTAAGATTGTAGGTGACAGTCTGGACTTTAAGAGACTATAATGAGTTTTCAGTGACGGTATGCTCTCTGGTTTTTCACGTACCTGTATGACCAGGTATCTGGAAGGATCTCTGGCCATTTTTGAGAACTCTGCTATCAGCTCCCTGAACCGAGGACGACTGGACGGATCGATCATCCAACCTGCAGACAGGAGACAGAGGAGAAACCGTTCACTAAAACCTCTCTGGGTGTAGTTTCTTCATCGGACCACTGTGGGGCTCGGCTCTCACATTTGACCATGATCATGTAGACGTCGATGGTGCAGACTGGAGGCTGAGGCAGACGCTCTCCTCTCTCCAGCACCGAGGCGATCTCGCTGGCCGGTATGCCATCGTACGGTTTGGAGCCGAAGGTCATCAGCTCCCACACCGTCACACCTGCAGGACACCATCATTAGGTTTTATTTTGTTCCTGAAGTCCCAAACACACACGGTCCTTCATGAAAGCTTCCCCATGACTGGTTTAGTTTGAATCATCTACACCCACATGTCTTCTGACAGGACGGTTAACATCGTTGGACTCACCGTAGCTCCAGACATCACTCTGATGGGTGTAGGTCCACTGCAGGATGGACTCCAGTGCCATCCACTTGATCGGAACCTACAGAAAGCAGAGACGGACCGACATCTTCAGGTTGAGCTTCACTCAGCCCAAAGACAGAAAACAGAGACAGCTCCCCTCTCAGCTTACTCTCTCTCCGTAAAAGGACTCTCACCTTTCCTCCGTCAGCGTGATATTCCTTCTCGTCCGCCGTCAGTAGTTTGGCGAGGCCAAAGTCGGTGATCTTGACGTGGTTTGGTGTTTTCACCAGGACGTTCCTCGCTGCCAGGTCTCGATGCACCAGGTGACGCTCCTCCAGATAGTTCATCCCCTGCAGACAGATGCAGAAACACCTCCTGAATGAACAAACAGCGCTGGTACAGGACATACTGTGTTTTAATCCACTTTGAGAAGCATCCAGCTCTTGAATTTCCCTTCAGGGATAAATAGAGTTCTTCTTTTCTTATCTTGACCATATTTTTGAAGTAGAAAACGACTTTAACACATTTGCACAAGTTCAAAATCCTTCTGAGAATCAGGCCTAGTGTCTTTTAATCTAAACACTCAAACGTTCCCTGATTCTCCTGTTTCCATCGCGGGACACTCTGTCTCTCTCCTTGTTGACAGACCTCCATGAGAGGGACGAGTCTCCAGCAGGTATGTGGTCTCCCTGACCCTCAGTGGGACCACAGGCCTCACTTCTCTGTCCACCACGTCCACCTTTCAGGGTTCATTTCTGGGAGGAGGTTTCTGCAGCTCTGACGAGGTAAACTGGCGAAGGACCGTAAAGATTTACTCTAAGCTTGTGACCTCGTTGTTTGTGATTTTCCCACCAATCAGATCCAAACAAGATTAAATCTGAACCCCGAGGTAAACACTAACGCCGGCTGGGTCCGGGTTAATGGGCTTCAGCGGGCTTAATACCAGCTGATGCCTCAGGCAGAGGGGGGGTTTAGGAGGGTGTAATGAAGCATCTTCTCTGGGCTCACCTTTGCGATCTGGACACACCAGTTTAGGAGCCACTGGGCGCCAACGTGCTCCCTGTGGTGGCGCACATAGTCCAGCAGGCAGCCGTACTGCATCAGCTGAGTCACCAGCTGGACTGAGGAGGTCAGGCAGATCCCCAACAGACGACACACATGGGGGTGATCCACGCTCGCCATCACATACGCCTCCTGCACACACACAGTTTATACACGATTCAAAACAGACCGCAGAGTCCACAATCACCGAGGGAGGTCCCCGAAGAACATGCATGAGGCTATTTCCTTTTCCAAGACGAACCAGAACCAGAAACTTAAACCAAAATACAGAGTCAAAAATGAAGAAGAAGAAGAAGAGACCCACGTCCAGGATTTCTTTGTTGGCTTTGGGTGAGGTAGCCTCTCGGAGAACTTTGATGGCCACAGGGATCCTCACGTTCTCCCCCTCAGGAATCCACAGACCCTGAAAACGTTTCAAACATTCGATCAGAAAAGACTGAAAAGCTCAGCTCCCCGTCTTCATTTCAGTGAAACCATCGTTCCTTACTTTGTACACCGTCCCAAAAGCTCCTGAGCCCAGCACTCGGATTTTCTTGAACTCCGTCTCCTTAAGGATCCTCAGCAGGGCCTGGTTTGGAGCTTCACCGCTCGGAGTCAACGGCTCTACCAGCTACAGGAAACCCGTTTGAGATACTTGAGTTCAAATCGATTGAACTCCTCGTCTGACCTTCATACTGTCATTCAGAACCGCCCCGCCCCCTCACCTCTCTCTCCTGCAGCAGGCGGCGCAGAGTCCTCTTCCTCCGAATCCGCCGTCGCCGCAGCAACACAAAGATGACCAGTGACACGATCACAGCGATCAGAAGCCCTCCGACCACGCCTGCCGCCAACGTAGAGTGGCTGGATGCACTGTGAGGAGAAAGAGGGCAAAGACATGATCCTGATCATCCTGGGTAAGGACGTCTAGTCCAGGTCCACAAAGGATCAGATTGACAGGCTTTACTGGTCGCAGATCCGGGTTACAGTTTCAGCAAAGACTGGTCTGAGAGGGTTCAGGTTCATAGAGTCTTACAGACGTTTACAGAAGTATAGAGAGTCCATATATGGTCATAACAAAAACACAACAGACAGGTGTAGAAGGTCCTGGTTTAGGAGGGTTTTCAGAGACCTATGGATCCAAGAGTCTATCTGGTGAAGAAAATCATCCTGTCATTTTATCGTATGTGAGGCTGGGCGGCACCATCTTTGACACTGTTGTGAGCTGTGTAGGAGCTCCTCAAGGTACCGTGCTCATGCCCCTTCTGTTCACCATCTACACGTCTGACTTCCAATCCCACTCTGACACGTGTCGCATTCAGGAGGACTCTGATGACACAGCCATGTGGTTAAAAACCAACCAGGAGGGGGAATACAGAGAACTCATCACGGACTTCTGTGACTGGAGCACCAAGAACTCAGTAATCCTGAACACGAAAAAGACCAAAGAAATGATCATCAACTTTGGCAAGAAAAGGAACACTAGTCAGCCGGTAAACATACATGGACGGGACGTAGAGTGTGTGCACACGTACAAATATCGAGGTGTCCACCTGGATAACAAACTGGACTGGAACACCAACACTGACAGCCTCTAAAAGAAGGTCAGACCAGGCTCTTTTTCTTGAGGAGGCTAAAGTCCTTTCAGGTGTGCAACCAAACGTTGTCCATGTTTTATCAATCTGTTGTTGCGGCTGTCCTTTTCGATGCTGCTGTCTGCTGGGGCAGAAATATCTCCTGTAGGAACTGTAACGGGCTGGATAAGCTTGTTAGGAAGGCGGGGTCAGTGATCGGGGGGGTTACTGGACACTGTTGAGAGGTGTATGAGGAGGAAAGTGAACACAATCCTCAGTAACACCAGACACCGTCTTCACGAGACTCTGTCCACTCAGAGGAGCAGCAGATCGGAGCGTCTCCTCTCCTTATGGTACAGGACGGAGCGCTTTAGGAGATCCTTGATTCCTGCTGCTATTCTTAATTATAATGATCATTGTTGACTGAATGTGTGGGGGGGTTTAGTCATGGGCTCTTAGAGTGTTTTTATATATAATGATTGTCTGTCTTACATCTGTACTCCTGAGTGACGACCGAATTTCCCTTTCAGGGAACTAAATAACTGTCTGTCTGTCTGTCTATCTATCTATCTAATCCATCTAATCCATCGTCTACAGATTTAGAAAAAGAAACCTTGTCAAAGTCAAAGATAACAGCGGCAGGAAAACCACTCAGACATCAGTCAGTGTTACCTGTAAAAGGTGAGGTGTACCTGCTGGTCTAGACCTTTCAGAGGCCTTCACTCCTTCACCTGAGACTGATTTAAAGTTTTATGTTTGTGAGATCAAATGATTTTAACCAAAAACCTCTCTGAACTAAAAACTTTATTAAATATTAAAAATAAAGTTTTACAAAATCGAGGATTTCATCGCTCAAACTCTGATGGTTTTCAGCATTAAAGTTTGACTTTTACCCGTTACATCCAGACAGTCCAGGACCCGAACACCTGCAGACACAAAACAGAGTCTGAGTCACTTCGATCCGAGACCACGCTCAGCTCCAATCAACCAATCAGCATCAGGCGTCTCACCCCTGAGTGCAGTTCTGATGGCAGGACTGACACTGTCCTGACCCGTCGGGGTATTTCCAGATCAGCGTGTCTTCATCCCCCAGCACGCCGTGAGGACAGCGCAGGACGCAGTGAGGACCATCTTGAAAGTGGGCACACTGGGAACACAGGTCTGGACCCTGCAGGAGAAGAAACGGGGGAGGGGGTATTAACTTAAGTACACACGAAGATTCTGAGCATAAAATCGGATCCAGACTGACCGGCCCTCTGCAGGTCGGGGTCCCGGTCTGCGGCAGACACTCGGGGTGACACTCCACACAGCTGCCGTCCACCTCCACCTCTCTGGGCTCGCTGCAGAACAACAGAGAGAGACGTCAGCGGTCGTCGTCTCGTGAAATGTCCTGATCCATTTTCTGATGACTCAGCATCTTTGAAATCCTCAGATCTCTGCCTCACCTCTGCAGCAGGTTGCAGACTGCGACACAGCGCCCCCTGCGGTTAAAATGCCGGCAGGAGACACACATGGTTGGACCTGGACCCCAGCAGCCCTCGTCTGTGCACTCAGTGTCACAGGTCCGGTTCTGTTGTTCTGTCGGTCAGATACCAGGAGTTATCATCACACCATAGATTCTGCTCTCGTCTGGATCAAAGATCCTGATCCACGTACAGAAACTCACCGCACAGGTCAGCGGGGCCGTTGTTGCGCATGCTGAGGGTCTGGTCCTTGGACCTGAAGAGCCGGGTCCACTTGTCGGGGTGGGTGTAGCAGAGCTCGGTGTTTTCTCTCAACATCACCCGGCCGGCGCTCACCTCCTTCAGAGAGCGCAGGCCCAGCCAGCGGAGGTGACGCGCTCTCACCACCGCCAGACTGTGCTGACTGCAGGGAAAAGGGGACATGTGATTTACTGACCCAGTCCGACTGAAACTGGACCCTGAAAATACCCAAAAACCTGAATCTGACTGAGACTAGTGATGGAAGATCAGTTCTTTTGACTGAATCTTTAGAATCCGTTCATTAAAAGGATTTGTTCAAAAGATTCGTTCACTGAATCAGTCAGTGTTTCGGAGCCCCGTCCTGCCACTGCAGTACACCAGTGAGTGACACAGCAGCGAGTTCCTTCATTAGCCCCTCCCCGCTCACTGGCTGGCTGTGTGTCGTTCGCCAAAGAGTCAAAGGCGGCAGTTCCACTCGCGACCAGCACGTCAGGCTCGCGGCTGAGCTTAACTGAATGGCGAAAGGAACGAATCAGGTCTCTGAGTGATTCCCTTCACGTCGTTCACTCAGCAGTTCAGTTCTTTTGAAAGAATCGTTCATGAACGACACAAACACAAACTGAGACTGGACTGGACCAAACCTCTCTTGGTCAGACTATCATAACTAGAGCATGCAGTTTGGGATCCATTTTCTCTGTTAGCAACTACTTCAGTTACTTCAGACGAGCTGAAAGGGGGCGTGTCCCGCCTACGGTAGCGGTTGCAGAGATGCTTCTGACAATGATTCTCACCTGATGCTTGTAAACTTGGACAGAAATCCAGTGAAACAGCAAATTTAATCCCCTGATCTTACATCAGCACAGGTGAAACAAATATACCTGTGTGTCAAATGTTAAGATGGACCTATCAAGAGCTTCACAGCCGCAGCAGAACTCCACATTTCTGAGATAATGGATCAGCTGACTTACGCTCGGGTCGTCCTCCCTCTGATGATCTCCAGATTCTCAAACACAGAGAGGGACGTCATGTTCTCCGGCCAGGACTGGATCAGCAGGAAACCTGGAGGACACACAATCTTACTGTCACGCCATCATCAGTCACTATGACAACAGACGCCACACGTTAGATGGCGTCATGACTGTATTGTATTTTAGTGACCGTTGACCCACCTGTGATTTCCTTCACGGTCCTGAAGTACTCCAGTTTGGCCGGGTCCATGGGGGGGATCTTATAGTGTGCGTCCCTGAGAGAGACATCATGGAATACACCTTTAGACGAGCATGTTGGTGACATACGTGACAGAGACGGTTTCCTCTGAGATGAAAAAACACTTTCCTGATCGACAGGTCTGTCACTCACCCGGTGAAGGAGGTCTCGATGAGGGAGACGTCCCCGTTGATCTTGGTGCAGTTCCTGAAAGACTCGATGTTTGAGGCGTTGACCGCCATGGTGTTGATCAGAGAGCCGACCCCGACGCCATCACAAGCTGAGGAGGAGGAGGAGGAAGACTTGGTCATGTTGGTCTCTAGGAGTTAATACCTGTCTCTGCTCTTCTCTCTCATAGTCTCTACCTTTCGGACATGGTCCATCACAGGGTCTGCAGCGCTGGACTCCATTCTCCTCCACCTCGTACGTCCCGGGGGTGCAGGTCCGAACACACGATCCCCCCGTCACCACGTAGTTATCTGTGTTTGAACAAAGACTGGATGAATTTTCCCTCTCTTTGCCATGTTAGGTGGACCAGGTTTTAGACGGTCTACGGGGTTTAACTTGTTCATAAAGAAGGTTTTATGTCCGTACGTGGGCAGGCTTTGACGCAGGTCGCCCCAAAGGTGAACTTGGCGTTGGGGTTGTTGACCACCTGGTGGGTTTTAGGGTTATAGAGGGTCAGAGGAGGACAAGCATCTTTACAGGTCCCGTCATCGTTGAAATCCCTGCAGGCCTGATGAATAAAGAAGAAACACAGACTTTAAAATCCACCGAGTTCAGCTGAGACCACAACAGAGGACTCGGAGTAGTGGACTAGCTCAGGAACCGACCAGGCAGTCTGTGGCCCTGGGTCCGGTACAGCCGGCAGCACAATGCACGTTACAGCAGTCGATGGGTTTGGGACCGCGGCACCTCCTGTTGCACTGCTCAGCACACTGCAGCTTCGTGACTGAAGAAGACACAGATATATCAGTGAAAACATGGCCGCCCCCGCCGCCGCCGCATCATCATCCTGGTCTCTGAGGACCAGGAACAGGCAGAGTACAGGTGTGTCTGAGTAAAGGTGTGAGTTACATTTCTGACAGTGATCCGGTCCTGCAGCCCAACACGAGCCGTTCACACACCCCGGGTCACACCGCTCACCTGGAACAAACAAACACACTGAGTTAGATCCAGGAGAACCACGAAGGTCTCCGCCTCTCAGACCTGAGCCCACTTACATTTACGGGTGAAGTCATCCGTCTTAAAAAGCATGCTGGGTTTGCTGGCTTTGTCCAGGATGTCCCACCACTGGATGGTCTCAGTGTTGCACAGCAAGGGATTGTGGGTCATCTTTACCCCGCCTCTGAGGATCTCTGAGTAAAAGAAGGAGTTTTAGAGTTTAGGCCTGATACAGCTCCAGGAAAGCATCGTAGGTCAGGTCATTGGGAGTTTTCAGCCTGTGCAGCCGAAACAGACGACCATTCAGTCGGCTTTCTCTAGAGCGACGCCTTACGACAAAACGCCAAAGAGACACAAAGACCTCACAGATGCAGGAGATTATTGTGTTGGAAAAGACATGAGACCAATAAACACTGTTAGATTTTTATATCCTGATATTGATCCATATCAGCTGATATGATCAAAAATATATAATGATAAACTTTTTCCCATATTGCCCAGCCCTACATGAAGGAGAATCTGCTCTGCACCAAGATATCTGAGCTCCTGACCCTGTCTCCAAGGTTGATCCCAGACACCTCAACCGACCACCTGTATCCGCAATCTCAGTCCACCGATAACTACCCAAAGACCGGACACAATCTATTATTTAAACCTATAGATTCTTGGACACTTCCACAGACTCACTGCCCATCCAAAGGGTCTAGTCCACCTAAAGTGATGTACCTGCTGGATTCCTGTCCAGCCTATAAACCATGAAAAAGTACCTCTGGATACCTTTCAAATGGATCAGCTGTGATAAGTTTCAATGTGAAGAGTTTTTACAGTATTACTCATCAGTGTGTGTGTTTGGAAGCACGCTCAGCAGAAATCTGATCAGTTATCTCGGCTTTAGAGCCGTCAAGACTTCAACTCCTGAGATAAACCGAACAACAGGACAGATCAGGTTCCTGCACGTCAGTCACAGAACAACAGACGGCTGATCAGAGCGCCGACAGTAAGAACACTTAAGACTCCAGGTGATCATCCACGTCAGTGACCTCCGCTCGCACAGGTGAGGTCTACTTCCTGCTGCCAGGGCGCAATCTGGTGTTGACTGAAGGTTCCTAAAAGCTGCACCCGCTCCACCCACACGGCCCGCTGCCAGCTCACTTAGCAACAGCACAGACACTCCTCAGAGACGTGTTCAAGGAAATGAGGCAGAAAACAACAGGGAGTAAACAGAGTCATGAAAGTGATCAGTGAGGAGGCGCCGCTAAGCTTCCTGTTAACCAGGAGTTCACACTCACACACAATCACAGTCTAAACTTCATCCCAAGAACACACACACACTGAAATCTCTGGACCAGAAGGTTCTGACAGGTCCCTGTTTCAAACTGGTTCCAGATCAGAATCTGCCCAAACCAGTTCAGACCATCAACATCACTCGTTAACGGTTCCCTTATCAGTGCTTTCCACTTCAGTTCAGCACTTTTAACAACATGCATCACAAAAGGCGTTCAGCACCAACCCCAAAGAAGTACTCAGGCGGAGAGGACGGACCAGGATCTGACTATCAGATCGAAGAACTGAGCCGTACAATGAACCAGCTCTCTGTAAAATCCACTCGCTTTGTGAGACAGACAGCTTTCCAACAACCAACACAGTCAGTTCGTTTACAACACTCGTGAAAACTGAATTATCGCCTTATTCCGATTAAGACAGGACAGCTGAAGGTCATGTAAACACCTTAGTCCGACTATAATCAGAGTTTAAGGACTCCGATTTAGACACCCAGATAATGAGATTAGAATTCGATTTTCTCTACCATGTGACCAGCGTAGTCGGAGTATGATCGGCCACGCCCCCTTTAACCCCGTATCAAAACCCCCAGAGTAGAGGAGTAGCGTTGGTCTCCTCTTTAGAAAAAGTAGCGCGTCCATCATGTCGGACAAAAACAACGCTGTACGATGCTCCATCTTCTTGTTTCTCCAAAATGCCCAGCAGCAGTTGTAGACACTTCTGACGTCTGACACCGACCTGCTGTTGTTGTTGACGGTTGGATGGGGTCGGAAACAGCGCCGCTGAAAAGACCCATATCGCCCCCTAGTGTTGGGGAGGAGGACACGTTCACGTCGATATCGATTTTTTTCAGCTGCATGTAAACGAGGACGAGGAGAGAAGTCTGATTCAGACAAAAAGACGAATTATGAGGTTAGTCTGATTAAACTGAGACTGTAAACGACCTGAGTGAGTTTCTGAAACATCCAGAAGCTCTGCTGTCCCACAGAGAGGACCGGAGTGTTTATAGAGACTCTCTAAACTCCCAGACGAGTCCTCTGCCTGGTTTGACCTCCGCTACCTTCAGGCTCTGTCTATTTCCTGGACTTCTTCCTTTGACTGTGTGTATAATCTGTAAAAACTCTTTGTTTTGTTGTTAGAGTTAGTGTGCGTCAGAGTTTGTGTATTTGTGAGCGTACCCGTCAGACTGCTGAGCTGCAGCTGCCTCAGTCCGCTGGTGTAGTTCAGGGTTGCAGACGAGACGTTCTTGTTGTAGTTGGACATCACCAGCAGAGCGAACTGACCCTCGTAGAGGTTCTGTCCTCGGATCAGCCTCAGGTTGAGCAATGGGATGGTTGCTGCTTCGTTCATGGCGATCAGGACGTAACCCCCGACTTCCTGGATCGACTAAAGTCAGAGAGGACGGGTTAGGGTTAAGGACCCTCACAGTTTGACTGTTGTGGTGTGGACACACGGCTCATTCATCCTGTGTTTTTTCTCTTTCAAGGTTATAAAGCTGCTCACTGAAAAACTGTTTGGCAGACGACCGTCAGTTTACAGATGTCAGAGTGTCCTTCAATGCAACACAAACAGAGTTCAGCTGCACAGGCGGGAGAGAGCCTCACAGCTGCACCAATAAAAACACAAAAACTCAGAGACAGACCTGGAGGAAGGACAGGTCCTGGTGCTCCAGAGTGTAGGTGATCTCCAGGTTTTCCAGGACCACGGAGCAGTTGGAGTACATCCTCACCATGTTTTCATAGTGATTCTCTCGAGTCCCCAACAAGGTGAGCTGGTTACTCATCCCCTGACACACTGAAACACACATGAAGACAAAATCATGAGAGACAGTTTGTTTTGCTGCACTTCCTCTGACGGCCACTGGAGGGGGCTGATTTGGTTAATCTTTTCTCCAAGTTTGAGTTAATAAATCATCATAAAGTCCTTCACTGCCTTCATCGGCTCTTTTAGGATTGATTTTAAACTCTTAATGTTTGTTTTTAAAGCTCTTTTATCTGAACTTTTAACTCTGGAATAAACTCTGAAATGAGACAGATTTCAGACCTGGACCTTTTGAAATCTCGACTGAAAACGTATTTATTTCTGCTGGTTTTTAATACCCAGTAGTGTGGAGACACTTTATTTTACTGCATTGTAATTTTAATCTTTTTTTATTTATTTTATTGTTTTTATTTATTCTTTTTTATTTTCTATTGTAAAGCTCTTTGAGTCACCGGAAGGGTTGTATAAATAAAGAACATTTACATATTTACATTTACATAAAAACTCCTGAGATAACATCACCGTGGGCACAACAGTCACTGTAGTGAGTATTTCTACTGCAGAGTTTTAAGGAAAGCGGTGACAAACTTCATCTATCAGGTAAAAAAGTGGAAAGTTGAGACAATTTTTCATCTGATATGTGAAGAAAAAAGACGTGTGATCAAATTCAAAAGTAGAAGTACGTTAAAATTTGTGTTTTTGGACGTCAAACTGTGAGAACGGCTGAGATTAACGTTTGAACTCCTGAGAAACTGACGGGCCGGCGTCAGCGCTCCTAAAACATCACTCAGGTAGACCAGGTATCACGGCTGTGTTTGCAGATATGAGGTCATTACTGAGAGGTATTTCAAGAAACTGGTCAGGGAGGAGCGCCGAGGTGTGAGAACGAGTCGAACCGCAGCTGCAGAGGAATGAGACTCTACAGGATCAGAGAGGAGAGAAGAAGAAGAAGAAAAACACTCAGCTGAGGATGAAATAAAAAAACTCATCAGGATGATTTTAAGGCTTCAGACGACCAACAAAGTTCATCAGGAAGTCTGATAGAAGGAGAAAAGGGGGCCCCGCAGACTAACAGCTCACCTGTCCTACAGGTTTCAACAAACCAGATCTGATTCAGCAAGAAACACAGAGTCAAGTCTGACGCAACGATCTGACACAGATAACAGATTAAAGCTCTGTTCCCACACCCAGAATTACACAATTATGAAGCAGCACAGACGTGGATCTGGTCCAGAGAACCGCTAATGAACAAAACAACCTGCTGGGTGGAAGCCAGCGAGAAACTTCACAACCAGGAGAGAACCAACCAGGTTCTGTAGACCTTAGTGAACCCAGCAGACCCGGTTCTGGAGTCTGACAGTCAAATGTTGTCCTATCCTGGCCTGATAGAGGATTTCAGCTGCTCAACAGTTCAGGGTCTCCTTGGTCCTGTTTTTGGGGTCATGATGTTCTAGATGTTTTCAATGGGGGACAAGTCAGGACCACATCAGTCCAGTTTCTCAGCAGGACTCTTCTCCTACTCCTTAAAACTGAGGATGAAGAACCGGAAACTGATAAACTGTAAATGTGATTCTTACTATGATCCTGTGTAACAGTTTATATTTGTCTGTTTATTTCTCCATCTGTGACTTTCCTTTTCTGGTTCTTTTCCTTTATTTTATTCTTTACAAGTATTTTGAAAATCTGGATGTATCAATAAAAGAAACTGAGGATGCAGAATCTAGGATTTCCAGTTCTTTGTTGAAAGGACAACTGGACTTACTTGAGACGTTTCGCCTCTAAGTCCAGTTGTCTTTTCCCACTCCAGAGTCCTGTCTGTTTTTAATGCCCTGAAGATCAGGACCATCCAGTCCGGGTTTGGGTTCTTGTCTCTTAGGTACAGAGACTTCTCCAGATCCTCTAAATGATATGATCTACTGTAGATGATGAAATCCACTCAGGGTCTGTTGAACTGAACTCACGCGGTCTCTCACAGAGTGATTGATGAGTAGCTCAGAGGGGGCGTGGTCTGCCGTCTCCTGGTCTCGGTTCAGTCTTGAGATCCACTCCTGGTTCCAGGTTCAAGGAGGAACTGACGATGACTTCAGCCTGAACTTGTCTTGTTTCTCTTCTTCTCTGTTTTTCTGGCCGCGTTCCTATTGGCCGGCTCCCTGCTGTGATGTCACAAAGTCAACACAGCTGCGGCCTGCTCGGCTCTCTGCAGCTGCTGCGCTCTGATTGGCTGGTTATTGAGATTTGTGTGTCGTCCATTAGACGGAGCCTCAGGGGTTCAGCACACATCTGGACACACACCAATACTTCCTCAGCCGTCCTCCTCTTCCTCACCTCCTCATGATGGAACTCTCTCTGAAGGTGTGTTGGAGTGATCCGAATATTTACAGATGATCTTAATCTCATTTTCACCACCATAAAAAACTCTCCTCATGTCCTCCTCTGTGGCCTCCTCCCTCCTCTCTCCTCTCCCCATGGTCTCCTCCTTCCTCTCCTCCCACTTTCCCTCCTTTCCTCCCCTGTTCCCTCGCTTCCTGAGGCATCAGTCCTCCCACATCCTTATTCCCCTCTTCTTCCTCTTCTTCTCTAAAACCGCTCTCTCCATCAGAAACATCAGTCTGTTCGTTTGAAGCTCCATCCAGCCAAAACAGACAAAACAGACATGCAGATAAATGATCATAAAATAATCATTTTTTAAACATTTTATTTTACATTTTTCGACTCAGATCTCATGAAAAACTTCAGCCCTGACCATTAGAAAAATAATAAATACAAAATTTGACTTTACACCCTAACTTCATCAACAGGACATATAGGGTCACAGACAGTACTAGACACCAAACATCATCATTCCATCATTTTTTCATGGAAATACAATCAGACCGAGACGCTAAGACAGAAGAACTACCGCGTCTGCAAAATGATCAATATGGTGATTATTACTTCACGGAAATGATAAAGAAATGATCATAAATGTTCTTCCTTGAGCTGCGGCACCCCGCTGTAGTCTGTAATGGACTGGCCTGAGGTCTCTCTACAAACAAGCGTCTGCTGGAAGAGAGTAGGTGAGTTGTGTTTAGTCTCTTTGCTAAAGAAATGAGTCAAAGTTAAAAAGATGTTTGGTGTCTAGTACTATGTATGTGACCCTATATGTACTAACCTCAGTAGATCATGGTGTAGTTCCGTTCAGTAACAGAACCTCATTTGAAAATTAGCTGATTCAACTTTACTGTGCTCTTGTTCAAATATATTAACTCAACAGCACATAAATTCATACCTGTTCACAAAATCATGATTTTATTGATAATTCGGCTCAATAAAAACACCTTTACCTTTTCATTTTACTACAGTGGAAGTTTATTGGCCCAGCTTACAGACTACAAAAGTGGTGAAACGCCCCCACTTAAGTTTATGTTTTCTTAAGTTGGTATAACTAGAGAAGGAAGCGGTCGACAACATTCATCTCTGGAGGGGGGGTCTAACTCGATGTAACGGTGGGTTTGACCCTAAATTAATTTTTAGACGGAATATCCCTTTAAGGAAAAAAAGCCCATGTGATGTGTCAAAGTTCAACCGTCAGAAACATCCACCTAAAACAGTCTGTTCTGTTACAGCAGACACACACACACACACACACACACACTGTTTGCAGAGGAACAGGTCTGATCTGTGAGATCATTTCTTGGATCAGCTGCTGTTCGGCACACTGCACATGAAGAGTGTGTGTGTGTGTGTGTGTGTGTGTGTGTGTGTGTGAATGTTAACCTGTCATCTCTCGCTCAGGATTTAAAGGGACAGTTCACCGTTTCCTCTCTCAGTCTGTGAATGAAAACATGAATTATCGACTCTCCTTGTTTTCAGACACAGACCTGAACCTGGACTAACAAACAGGACTGGTCTTCACACTCTGGGGTCCTGCGTCACAGAGGGGACTCTCTGCCTGGAACTGAGTCCTGGGTGTCCAGGTTTCGGCCTTTATTCAGGGTTAGACAAACCAGCGGTGATGTTAGTCAGAGGCAGGATGAAGAAAGAGTTTGTGTTTGTCTGTTTCTGACCCTCTTACAGACAAAGTTTACTGACAATCCAACCCTGACGTCAAAAACATACCCATGATCCTCCATTCTAATCTAGACAAGTCCCAGAAAGACACGAAAAGACGAACCTGAATTTACCTGATCAGTCCGTCTACATCTGAGAGGTTTCTGACCCACAAATGAAAACCGACTGAAACTCCTGAAGCATCACCGCCTCAGAGTCTTCTACACAACAACAACAACAACAACAGGAGCAGCAGTAGACCAGGGGTCCGTTTCACGTAGCAGGTTTAGTGGAAACTCCGAGTTTGTTAACCCTGAAATCAGGGAAACTCTGAGTTTTCCGTTTCACAAAGGAGGGTTAGTTAAACCAGGGAGAGAGGGGTAACTCTAACCTGTTTCACAAAGAGAGGTAACTCAACCTCGCGGTCAGTTACCACAGTAACAGACTCCGTGAACCTAACCTGCTCGGGAGCAGGTTTAACTCAGTAAACCCAGAGTTTCAGGTGAGACATCGGCATTTTCTCATTTCGATCATGTTTTACATTGTCAACTAAGTATTAAGTGACAGTTTGATCCCTTAAAAAATGCTCTTTTCACACTCAAAACTGAATTTTACTCTCTTATTATGTTCCGTTAAATGATTAGGAATATTAAACTAACACAAAAACGGGTGGTGGTCCAGCAGCCCCACCTTTAACGGAGGCAGAGGAGCTGCCCCCCACCCCACCCCGTTCGACGATCGCGGCCGGTCCGATCGCAAATCCCCCCCCCCCCCACACACACACACACACACACACACACACACACAGACACACACACACACACGCACACACACCAGTCCGACGATCGCTGCTACGGGGTGGGGGTTGCGATCGTCTAAGGGGGGGGCAGCTCCTCTGCCTCCGTTAAAGGTGGGGCTGCTGGGCCACCACCCGTTTTTCTGGCATCTGCCCTCTTTCTGTTTGCTGAGTGAAAGTCTAATATTGAGTGTAGTGTGTGTTAGTTTAATATATGTACATATACATACTGAGAGTTAGTTTAATATTCCTAATCATTTAACGGAACATCATAAGAGAGTAAAATTCATTTTTGAGTGTGAAAAGAGCATTTTCTAAGGGATCAAACTGCCACTTAATACTTACTTGACAATGTAAAACATGATCAAAATGATTCAAGCAGTTTCCCTGCAACAGTCTGTCATTGTGTTTGCACGAGACTAGATTTAAAGTTACGCATTGACGCGAGCAGCGATTTCCTCCCAAGCCCTCTCCCTCTCCTTTGCAGCTGCTGCTGTATTGCACTTTCTTTTAAAAACGTGCTGTCATTCGCTGTTGGCTTGCTGCTGCCCCCTCCTTCTCCCTGTTTCCATTGGTTGATCATTGAATCTGCGCTCCACAGATGCTGGCTGTTTATGTCTGGCGTGCACGTGCTTAACTCCAGGTCAAACTACTCGGAGTTGTTAAAACCGTCTCAAATCAGGTGTTGTGAAACCGGAAACTCAGAGTTTCCGAACTCAGAGTAGATCAACTCAGAGTTAAGGATTTAACTCAGAGTTTGTTGAACCACCTACGTGAAACGGACCCCAGGTCAGAACACGGACTGGTTTTTATCCCCATCCTGCCACGAGGTCTCAGACTCTGGTTTTCTCTTGTGGTGTCCCCCAGGGCTCTGTCCCGGGTCCCCTTTGGATCATTCTCTGAATGTTCAAACTCGCCGGGTCACATATTTGAATTCTTGGTCGTCTTTTTCCAGAGAGAGAAGGTGTGAGAGGGAAGACCTTCACCGGTTTGATGTATTATGACTTATTGAATCACGAACACTGAGCTGAACCTTTGACTGTAAACTCTGTTATAAAATTATTCAAAAACCTTCAACAGCTCCTCATTTCTAAGACGTCTTCTGGTTGATAAAACAAAGTCAGCACAGAGGTAAATGAATCTTTTTTTTCCGTTTCTGTCGGTTTCTGTAGTTTTACGATGACTGATGTTCTCCTGATGTAATCGCAGCAGCAGCCAATCAGAGCGCAGCGAGGAGAAAAGAATTTATCTGTTTCACAACCTGCGAGAGATGGAGGATGAGATAACACACAGAGGCACGTACCTGCACACACACACACACACACACACTTAGTCTAACAGTGTGTGCGTGTGTGTGTGTGTGTGTGTGTGTGTGTGTGTGTGTTGGAGGAATGTGCTCCTCGCTGAGCCTCCTCTCTGCCTCTGATTGAATTATGGGTAACGAGCGAGGAGCTGCTGTCTGACACGGCGGTCACTGTTCGAACCCGTCAACATGTTGTCTTCAGCGCCGAGGCTGTTTGTCACTCATTAGGCCAACGATTCGACCAATCAGCTGCCTGGTGGACCCTGATCCACCTCCGGCCTGCAGACCTGGATCTGACCCTGAACTAAGCGGAGACCCCTGA